CCGCGCGCTTTCGTGGACAGCGAAATCCAGTGGCTGTAGAGGAGTTCCTCGCGTCTGTCACCGTGTACAAAGACATAGAGCGAGTTTCCGACGCAGCACGCTTTACGTGGAATGCCCCTTCTTTTAGAAGACTACGCAGCAACATGGTGGATCGGCGTTAAGGAAAACGTGAAGACTTTTGCCGATGCGGTCGATCTTATACGCACAACTTTCTCACCGCCTACCCCCGATTGGAAAGTCTATATTTCACTGTTTGAGCACAAACAGCAAGCAAGAGAACCAACTGATAGTTTTATTTGCAAGAAGAGGTTACTCTTTTCGCAACTGAGAGACAGTGTAAGCGAATCCGTCCAAATCAGCATGATCTACGGCCTCTTGTCGGTTAAAATAAGAGAGCGCGTACGTCGTGAATCGTTTTCAACTTTTGATGAGCTTTTGGCACAATGCCGTGAGGCAGAACTGTTTTTGCATGAAGTTACGCGAAGCGCACCTACGGACAATGAGCAAACGCATGCAGAAGAGCCGAAGCGATGCTCTTATTGCCGAATTCGCGGACACACCGTTGAGATTTGCTTAAAGCGTAAGAAAGAGCAGCAGTCGCAGCAGGCGGTACAACAACAAAGCTCGCCAAGTGCATACACAGCAGCACCACCGGCCAAGCGCACAGCCGCTTTCGCATGTTATGGTTGCGGGGCACCGGGCGTATATCGATCTAATTGCGGAAAATGTAGTGAACGAAACAAAGAGAGTCCACAATATCTCTCTTTCAATAACGTCTCAACCACTGTGGTTGGTAGGCAGATTCCGTGCGTCCATATTGAGATGTTCGGACTAAAGGGAGAAGCTCTCTTTGATACGGGCGCAAAAACGAGTATTGCGAGCGCAAACTTAAAAAAGATTCTGACTAGGAAAGGGTGTGTGTTCCAGGACGTCAAAGCCGATGTCACCTTAGCAGACGGCACCACCACAACGCAAAAAGTATTGGCAACCATTTGCGATATTAAAATTGGTAATCGCCAAAGAAAGATTCGCCTAATCTCGTTACCAAATGCCACCAAGAATCGCACGCTTATTGGTGCCGACTTTATGGAGCAAGCGGGTATAGTAATAAATATGGCGCAAAGATTTTGGCATTTCGAAGATGAACCAAAAGTCAAGTACGATTTTACCAAACCCAGCGAATGTAACAATCAGCTCTTTGCCTTGGATATAGCTGGAGAGTATATTAACGCTTGTAAGACTGCCGGCGTCCGCACACCAGATTTCATTCGAAAATCAAAATTTGTCGAATTCGTAGAAAACGGCTATCGAATGAGTCAAGCACCACGTACGCCAGAAGTTGGTGCAGTTGAGAAACAAAAATACGACCAAACAAATGATTACTCACCACATTCAATCCAGAAGATATTCGGGGACTCAATTCCCGTTGGAGATAGCACCCCAGAAAATCATTCGCGGTTATTTGCTCCACCCATGAAAGTCCGAAGGGACTCAGACTATGACTTGCCTCTCCTCTCGATAGAGCTGACAATGCCACCGGAAACCGACGCTATCGAGTTGTCTGAATGCCAGGCGTCGGAATTAGATTCTTTGCTATCAGAGTATGCGGACTAATTTGCAGAACCAACTGCAGTAACGCCATTCGCTATGCATAGAATCGATACAGGTAAGCAATTGCTTTACCTCCGTACCGACTGTCACCCGTTCGCAAAGGTGACTTGAAATGTGAAATTGCCAAAATGTTGGAAAGTGGCGTAGTTGTTGAATGCGACTCACCATGGGCTGCTCCAGTAGTCATGGTACCCAAGAAAACTGGTGGCGTACGAGTCTGTGTTGATTACCGGGAACTCAATGCCATAACTAAACCAGACCGATACCCACTTCCACGCATCGATGACTTACTGCACGAAGCTAAAACAACAAAATGTATGTCTACAATCGATCTTCAATCTGGTTATTGGCAGATTGGCATGGAAAAAGAAGACCAAGACAAGACTGCGTTTGTCACCCCGTTTGGCATGTACAAGTTTACGCGTATGCCGTTTGGTTTGCCAACCTCAAAATCAATAAGAACAAATGCCGGTTTGCTTGCAACGGGGTTAAATATTTGGGCCATGTTCTAACACCGAATGGTATCATGGTTGATCCATCTAAAATTGAAGCGATTACGAAGCGCAGGTCACCGAAAAGTGTAAAGGAGCTACTGTCCTTTTTACAAGCGTGCTCTTGGTATAGACGCTTCGTACCAGGTTTTGCTGATGTGTCCAAACCACTATCGCAACTTTTAAAGAAAAAGGCAAGTTGGGTGTGGTCCACCGCCCAGCAGGATGCTTTCGAGAAGCTGAAGAATCTATTAGTAACATCTCCGATCCTAAAACAAGCGGACGAAGATTCGAATTTCATTTTGAAGACCGATGCCAGTAGCTACGCACTTGGAGCAGTTCTACTCCAGGGGGAGGGCACCAACGAGCACCCAATAGAGTACGCCAGTAGACTGTTGACGAAAGCGGAACAAAATTACTCGACGATAAAGCGAGAAGCACTCGCAATAGTGTGGGCTGTACAAAAGTACCGAGGCTATATCGAGGGGTCTAAAGTCCTGGTTACTACCCACGTCCTGAGCAATGCAGCAAAGGGTGTAACGGCGAAGTTCGCTCCAAGACGTGATGGGCCCTACGTCATCATCGAACGCAGAGGCGCAACTCCATACGTTATCGCACACGAAGACGATCTACAACAGCCACTCGGGTGCGCGCAGCTTCCTTGTCGTTCCGTCGAGAAAACCTTCGCAACTTGCGTTGTTGGGTTAAATAGAGACAAACTCAACTTATGTGTACAACAATAACACTTTATTTCTGTAATGCAATAAGCTTGAAAGGTCGGGGGATGCTGCCCAAAATATTATTGTGCACGCACGTCCGACACGTTCGCAAGCTCGAAGCTAATTAAGATTTTATGACCAGCAAGGCGACTTATATACACTACAGAGCAACGGCATTGCTGCAAGGGTTGCTACGAACTTCACAAGTAGTAGGTTACATTTGTATAACAAAACCCCACTGGGTTGCATTTTCTATCTCGAGTTAGACAATCTATTACAATATTACATAGTGTTTACATTGATCCACAAACGAACAATAATATGTGAAATAAACAATTAGAGAAATTTAGAAATTAAGAACTATGAGATTGCTTCAAATTCATATTATTATTCTTGCCGCACTCACATGCATTGTTGAGCGCGTTTTTTCCGTAATGAATTCAACAAAAACTAAGATTCGAATAGGATGAATAATTGAATAGTTCGAATAAAGTGTTATATGAAGGCTAATAGTTTCTGCTGCAAAACGTTTCCAATATCAAACAGTATGTTATCAAGGTTGAATAGCTCAATATTTGACAACAACAGAAATGTAAATCATTCAGACACTATAGGTGATTTTGAAGAATTTGTGGAAATAGCTGATCTCGCCTTATTATAGGTTTTTATTTAATTTTTAACGCCGAGCTCTTAAAAGCGGATTATGCGATTAATCAATTAATTTGAGTTATAATAAATTTAATAATTGCGCAGTCCTATTGCAAAATGTGTTGAAACAAATATTTTTAAAAAGTATGTGTATTTTTAAAGAAAGTTGTTTGTACATCACTATTATATATGTAAGTGATTTGTGTTATTTATTATTACCCTCTGAAGGTATTATATTCGTTTTTGGTCTTAAAAACAATATTATAAGAAGATCTCATTTTTAAAATTAAAGGTTTTTTAAATCGATTTCATGAATTTTATAAAAAAAAAAATTGCGATTTTTGGCGATTTTTTCAGAAATTGCGCTTTTTTAACAATCTGGACACCCTGGTCAGCCCGGAGCTGTGGTTGTGAACGCACAGCTACTAGTGAACAGCACATGACTTGTACATAGTTCCCTATCATGGTGTAATGAACTGAAGGTGGCGCATTCCCGAAACCGCTACTTTGGTTTTGCCGACTTTGACGTTTATGGCAATACGTAAACAAACTTTTTGTTTATAAACAAATGCAAACGTATTGCAAACGTATTGTGTACTTTCAAGTGAAAAATCGAAGTAATTCGTGTGTTCTGAAGTAATAAAAATGTCGTGTCGTGTGTTGAATTGCAGCAGCCGTAGGGACAAAGGCCCCAAACGCAGTTTTTTTTGTTTCCCCGCGACGACGCCTTGACCAGAAAGTGGGTAGAGTTCTGCCGGCAGGAGAAGCCATACAATTTAGACACCAGCTTAAGGAAAACGTTGAAATACCACAAATTACAAATTAAAGTCGGAGGTAAGCAAGCATCGACCACTTTCTGCAGGAAAATATGCGCTGCAACAAGATATTATCACTTTTTCGGCACCTGCAATACAATGACGAAAATTCTAAATAGCTAATTAATAAGACCTATTCTTTTGCACACATTTCAAGAGTGGTTGTATATTTTTTGTTAACGTTGTGCTTAATTTGCCATATTCAAAGATGGCTTGAGAAATTAGTGAATCGTGAAGAAAACACGTTTTCTCACTGCAAATTCACAACTGTCAACTCATTGTTCTTCGCGATATTCTTTGTTTACCCGTTGCCACAAATGTCATTCTGCGAGAATGCGCAATCTTGTATTCTATCGTTCTTGGTTCCCTGTACAAGGCTTGGCTGTTCAAAGGCAGAGCGCCGCCACCCCACAGTCCACCGTGAGCCGGCATAGTCACGCCGATGTCGCGTAGCAGTAGAGCGCCGACAGAATAGTACCATCAGGAATTTATATACAAACAAAGTACTGTTTGCAAAGGCCCCACAATATAAATTTATTGTAACGGACCCTGTGCACGGCGAGTATACCCCAGCATAGAAAACAGAAGCGTCGGGGCCTTCACAGAACAACGCTTCGGTACAATGTGTATACATATAGTCAATATCTATCGAAACATTTCAACAAATCAATCTCTTTCCCATACAACGTTTTGACACTTATAATTTCATTTTTCAGATAATGATGATGCATGATCACTAAGGCCATCAAACTTAACCGCAAATCTTCATAAACCATTTCAAATGACGAAATAAAAAATGAAAATTTTCCAAATTTCCATGTCCCTGGCTAGGTAATCGATTAAACTTCATTCGTGAACAATTTACAGGTTCAACAAATAAAAAACAAAATTGTTAAAACCATGCGGGTGGTTGCAATGGTCAGCGGTGGCAAAGATAGCTGCTACAACATGATGCAGTGTGTGGCTGAGGGACACGCAATTGTCGCACTCGCAAACCTACATCCGAAAGATCGAGGTGAGTATATTTTCTAAGTTATTGGCTTATGAAATTTTTTATTTGTCCCGGAAGTTTTTAAATTTTTTTTTCTTAAGGAAAAATATACAGTTTTATTCTTTATTAGAAAAGACTGGAACGACATTTTAAGAGTGTACATTAGGGTGCTTTTTTCGGCGACTATGGGTGTGTTCAGAAATGCATCAAGCCAAAGCATCAGACGCTTTTATTTCTAAACTAGAATTGATGCAAATGTCCAATATACGCAACCACGGTTAAATGCCTAATTGGAACGTAATTGCGTAAATAAGGTATTTTCATCAGTTGTAGTTTAGAAGTAAAAGAGACTGATGCTTTGGCTTGATGCATTTCTGAACGCACCCTATTTTTTTTGTGACTGCCACCTCGAAATTTTGAGGGAAATACTTAACAACAAGTTTCCCGAAAATTTGAACCCTTAATATTAATATTAAGTACTCGACCCATGCGTGCAAAGATCTTCCGTTCAAAATACACATAAACTTTGATTGTATTTCTTCAAAATTCTATAACTCAGAGGCATTTTATGGTAAACTAGGCCAATGATAGGGTTTCTTCAGAATTGAATGGACGTAACCCTCACTTCCACCAGCGTGGTAGTACGGGTCACTAAACTCAATTTTTCATGAAGTTATCGTTTTTTATCTATCTCGTAAATACAACGAGAGCTCCAGAAAAAATGTAAATGACATACTTGTAGAAAATTCAATTTCCTACAAAAAAGTTCCAGAACACCGAATTGCTAACGTTAGCGTCATATTATTATAGATATGATAACATATATATTTCTTGTGATATTGGGCTTTGAAGTTGATTAACAATTTCTACAGTTTAGCTCAATAATCCATGAAAATTCCACATTACCTCAACTTCAAAGCCCAATATCAAGAAATATCGATGTTAGCGATTGGGTGTTCTAAAACTTTTTTGTAGAACAATGAATTTTCCACAAGTCTGTCATTAACAATGTTTTCTGTAGCTCTTATTACACTGTGCGACAATTTTATGATATTTCAAACCAGGCCAGACTTTGCTAATATTTTCCTAAAAACATACATATCCAGTAATAAAACACTCGATGGATTTACAAAAGTTAGCTCGTATTTTTATACCCGAGCGCACTTGTGCACAAGGGTATATTAATTTTGTTCACATAACGGTTGTTTGTAACAGCCAAAACGAATCGAGATAGATATAGACAAATGTATACATAAATGCTCAGAATGAAT